GGGCACCAATCCTTATTTTGATTGGTTTGAATTTGCGATTATATCCCAAATCCTTCTTTTTGATTGGCCGGGCTCAAATTAGAAAAAGATTTTTGTAGCTAAACCAGGTGATACATGAAGTAATTCTTGATTTAATATGGGGATTATAGGACCACCTTAAATAAATTTTAAAATTAGTAGTAGTATTAGTAAAATCGAGCCCTAAGGACATTATATCGTGAAAATGGCAGAATCGTACTTCGTACTCTGTAGTGGTGCTGACGCATTTATGTAACTTGTTTTGCATAATGTAATTATGGATGTGTATGTATATAGTCAGGATAAACCAATGAATAGAGCAGAATGTTTTGAAATATTGTATTAAAGTCTGTCACGAATAGCATCTTTTTATCGCAGTTGAAATGAAATACGCCTTTTCACGTTGTATTCATTCAAAAACTCACAAAACTTTCTTGCTTCAAGTTACAGCTTCACACTCCTTTATATATCCTAGCAACAGGAGAAGACCACTTTCTAGAAAACTCATGAATTCTACAAACCTGTTGAAATATCTAGAGATAAACAAAACTACCTGACTACTTGAGAACTAACTGACAACTTACATACCTACAATTTGACAACACATGACAACTCAAACTGTGACCTACCGCCCGTGTTACCGCACTATACAAGGTGTTACAATGCTAAAAACTGAAAGGGGCGGATTTGATTATGATCCTATAATTTCAAAGTATAATATGATCTTTTCTTTTTCAGATATCTCTGGAGTGGCCTGATAGTAGTCGTAGGTATATATCTGAATTTATTCAGTAAAAAATATCCATTTTCCATGACAGACTTTGAAATTAAGGTAGAACAATTTATTAGATACATAAGATCAAAGTATATTGCTAGTCAGTATCGAAGTGGTTACTACTTGACAGAAATATAATGACCCACAGAGTGGCACATCTACAGTGGTAGTGACAACGTTCGCTTGTGATTGGTAGATGTTAGGTCATCTGTTTAGGTGTCATAATGGCATACCACGAGTATTTCCGCTATGAAGTGTCTGCTGAATGCGAATAATTATCGCGTTCATCAGAACAGTGACATTACTGCATCTACCCGTACATCTCAATGGTTTTGATTAAATGTGTTTTAAGAAAACAAACAAATTTTCATTAAGATAATAGGTGCAATACTCTGGTGGAACGAATATTCGTTAGATGTCAGCACACTTTCAAAATCGTAATAAAAGCATTGTACACGCCCAGATCTACATGGCGTGTTTAGACGTACCCTTGGATGTTGCCTGTGCTTTTAGTTGGTATCCTTATCGCAGACAGAGATTGTTTATGCTTGCTAACAGACATTTTTTTGTGCTTTGCCCCCACGCGTGCATTTACGCTTTTCGGTAATGGATGACGACATTTAGACAATTCATATTTACTAACCACAAACGTATAACAAATGGCTTAACAATAACAACAAACATATAAAGAGTGACTTGACAACAACAAGCAACAAAACAAATAGAAAACCGATAGACACACTATTATTCACGACCAACCACAAAACATATACACGGACTTCCAACAGTAGCGAACACAATGCAGCTTGGACTGTAACGTGGCATAGCGGTGAAGAGACATGCACGTCGACCTCTGATTATGGCCACTCATCCTCCGCTATAGGCGTTGGCCAGCGGGAGGTCCGAAATGTGGGATGTTGTCGGATAATTTCGGAGCTGTACTATTTTGTTGACAAGTTACGATTGCATAAAAAATGGATAAAAATGTGTTTTTTGAGGGAACATTTTGTTAATATTGCTTATCAATTATTCTATACACACCATGAAGGAACTGGATTAAACCGATTAAAAATACTACTTCAAACAGGCTGCTGGCCAAATGGGCGTACGACCTTGAACATTTTTTCTGATAAAGCTTAATGCCTGAGTAGATTTAACTAGTATTTGTGCACTTCTCTTATTTGAAAGATATGGCATTGAATTGCCTTGAGATGTATGCGTAAACGTAGGGTATGTTCTGATGAACGCGACCAATCCACACAGTGAAAGTTCGATTTACTTTATATATGAAACATTAAGGGAATTGAAAGATTTTACAATTGAAATTTACTTAACATATGTGCTTACGTTTACAGCATTTGGAAAATACACGACTATTACATCATTTTTTGAGTAAATTTGATACTTTTCGCAATAACAAATACCGCATGCATAAACGTTAACTCCGATAAATGTTAAATAAATAATAATAATCAGTTAAAATCTGAGTTTGTTAATTACCTACAAAATAATTTCGATAGTAGTTCTTCCACTGTGTATGCTTGTGTTTGTATGTTTGTGATATAATTTATTTGCCATATCTGCAGTATTTGGATAGAATTGAACAAAACTTTTAGATCAAAAAAGAAAATAATACGCAATTTATTTTTAATTTGCGACAATGTTTATTATCTCACGGATTTTTATCACCAAATACTTATTAATGTACTATAATAGTGTAATGCATTTTTATATAATTGTTATATAATGAACTGGAGAGCATAACTATAGCGCCACCATCAACTTTCGGGTTTCTTTCGTTCGGTTCAATTGTAACTTAATACAAATTGTAAGGGATGATAAAACAAACAAAAATAATAAATATGGAGCATATTGTAATTGATGTAATACAAATGCATCCCGGCAAGTTATATAAAGTTACATTTAAATCAACTAAGGAAAAAGCGAAAATTCTTCGTGGGGCTATACCTACAGGTATGCTCCCCAGGAAATTATATTTTGTTTGATTCTCCAAAATTTATCGAAAAAATCGTGGGATTGTAATTTATTATTTTGCTTAAGAGCATGAAAATACGCAAGACAATAAATAGTTGACATACCCCGTTTTGTTTATATTTTCATCATTGTACTATGAACAAGGATTAGGGGCATACTGCAGGTCTGCGGTATAGGACCCTCATCAGCTTTTTTTGTGCACTACCTTCCAACCCCACTCTTCTACTATTACAAGTAGGACATTTCAGGCATCTGACTTTTACTACTTCCGTTCGAGTATGCCAAATAAACTTGCGTAACTATTTTTACCAGACAATATATACGCTTTAATCCTACTCGATGCGAAAGCCTGGCCAAAATTGA